CGTCATGTGCTTTAATGTTTATTTATACTGTACTTTCAGTGTTTTTCCAAGAAAATGCCTGTTGCCCGAATAATGAGGTTTCAATATAAGTTTCTCAGGTAAAACTTCTTGCACAGTACCTTACTGAATTGTATTCACTGTATAGTTAGTCCATATATTAGTGGTTGACAATGTAGGAACTTTTTCATAAGACAGGGAAGATCTCTCTCTCTCTCTTTCTCTCTCTCTCTCCCATAAACTCATCCAGATGTAGCCCAACTTTTGCACCCACAGGATCGGGGGGGTGGTATTCAGGGGGATCGTAGCGGGGGGAGGTGGTGTATTGGGCTGTGGGTTGGTGTGTGGTGACTGGAGGGAGGTAGGTATGGTTTGGAGGTGGTTGGAGGGCATTTTGATTAGTGGGAGGAGGTTATGAGTGTGTGTGTGTGGCTCTGCGGGGGTAAGGAAGTGGGGCAGTGGGCAGATTTGGGCTGGCGGTTGGAGCTTCTTGCTCGTTTTTCTGTGGTGTGCCATGGAGGGCGAGGGGATTTGTATGGCATCACTAAAGATGAGTGAAGGGGGCTGGATATGCTATAAATGGGAGGCAGAGAGGTGGCAGCTTACATGACATCCCGCAGCCGTCATGGGGGCTTGAGGTTTGAGGTAGAGAGGGAAGGAGCTGGCAGAGGATGTGGTGTGGAGTTTGTGGTTGGCTGAGGGGGCTTAATGTCCTCTTTTGTGGTAGAAGACACCAATTGACCCATCATCCAACATCTCTCTATATGCACCCACTATAGGGCTGGGACTATTGATTATTTCTATAATCGATTCATCCTTGGAAGTCTAGAGTTATAATCATCATCATTTTACTACATTACAGCACCACCATTTTCAAAGTTACATCTATGCAGCAAGTGATCACTTCTTTTGATATACAACAATACAAGCCATACTTCCCCCAAAACGTCCTGTAACGTGGTGCAATCTGTCTGAATGACTATGGGTAGGCCTGGGCATTGATTCACCAATTCCAGACATTTGGGAATTGAGAATCAACCCCAAAGCTTTAGACTCAATCCCATATCCTGACATTCAAGCTTTCCCACACCCACATGTAGTGTGAGATATTCTGCTGTCACTGTCTAGACAGCCTGTCTGATCCAATGCATCCTTCGACAACACATAAATCAACAGAGGCTGTACTTTACTGTGGACAAAGTTGGAAACAAAAGTGCAAAATCTGAAACAAAAATACAAAAAAATTGCTTACAATCGATAGAAATCAAAGGGCTGAAACAGACACAGACATAGAAACACTGACAGAAGAAAATCAGGTATGGTTTTTCTAGTTTAGTCAGCCAAGATAATTAGCTCTCCAAACTACCCTGCTAAGAGCTGATGTGATATGATTAAACTGACATCTTGTGTTCCTGAGGAACAACTGAGGTGGGAGCACACGAATTTAATATGTCAAGATCCCTTGTCCTTCATATAATTAATCATAGTAGAGTGTTATCTATTAAATATTCTCCTTTGTTATGATGTTAGATCTCCTGTGTTTTGGCTTTTGGAATTAAGAAAATTATATGGAATCGACTCTTGAAATCGACTCTTGAAATCAACTCAGTTGATTCTCATCTCTTTAAATCAGAGTCAGCTCCACACTTTCTAGAATCAAACAGCCCTAACTGTGGGTATCGTACGAATGTGATAGAACTTTATTGAACACTTTCTTCCATCATCAGCCCCCATGGGAACTGATTTTGTGGACTAATCATTGCAATCCTATTGCACCATAATATTGTCTTCAATGTACATTCTGTCAATGGCATAAGCAACTCTCCCTCTCCTAAACAAACACATACTCTCTCTCTCACATGCTGTCATGCTACATGAATACACGATAAGCAAGAGTGTTTTGACCAAGTGCTTCGAGACAAACACTCCCCTCAGGCTCTTCACGACACAATGACAATCTCCTCGACATCTCCTATCTCTTTGGCATATGCCCTCAAACACAGACACACGACATACAGCAGTCAGGAGCAATCTACACTATATCATACACCATGACAAGGCCTGCCTACTCACTGGAGCTTATTCAGAAACACAAGTTACCTGCTTTCTTTACAAACGAAGCAAGGGCTCAAACTCGCTTCAAGCAGATGAGTACAATGAAAGCTTAAACATTGTAAATGAATGCATGTACAGGGCTCCTGCATGATATTCATTGCTTTCTCAAAGACCCATTGTGTCCTGAATGGAGGGATTCCGGACATACCTGAATAGTCAGTGATAAAAACGTACCTTACTATCACAATCCCTCCCACTAACACACACACACACACACACACACCAGGAGAATTTTAAGCCTCTCACAAACTGAGACAGGCTTTATTAAGATGATGATCCTGTTCCTTACAGAACAGAAAAGTTCTATCTCATCCACATTGGGACTATTTGCAGGATGGGATGCTTGTTAAAATGAAAGTCTTCATTATTCCTGATTCATCTTAAGCTTGAAGTTAATAGCTATGCAATCTAATATGACTGGTCTGAAGGCAAGGCAAATTTACACGCTGATCATAATTTAATTGTGTTCATTAATTAATACATTCATTTCATAAATATTCTTTTAGGGCTGTCCAAAGGACATCTGATTAGGCCCACCAGTTTCTGTAACCCCACCCCCTCACTAAATGGGAGAACATAGTTTTATACTGTGTAACTGAACTTCTGTAGTTTTTATTTGTTTTAGTAACAAATGTATAGTGTATTAGAAAATGATATTGAAACGTATTTACCTTCTTTATTTGTTTACTGTTTTGTATATTTGGACATTTGCATTTTGGCCCACCAAGGCAAAAATTTGGAGCACCCCAGCTCTGTTCATTTTAACTGAATGATCAAACAAATTCAACTTCAAATTCCCAGATCTGTCCTTTCCAGATGATATGTCACTTTTGTGTGGAAGAGGATGCCTTTCTATCTAACCCAAGTCATGCTGCTGCCTAAACATGGATTAAAAAGTAAATATGGATATTGTCGGGTATTTCACAAAATATTTGAACCCCTAATGTATTATATAGCAAATGTGTTCAGACTTCCTGGTGACTGTGCTGTTACCATTAGGTTTAATGTAACTGAGAGACACTCAACTCTTCACAAATTTAATGAACTGAGAATCTCAGTACTTTCTCAACACTGCAATAAACATTCGTAGCTAAAGATCTGCGTAACCGTCCTTCATTTCCCTCTTTGTAGGTCCAGATGTGATGTACGAATAGCATTTAATTTCTGTTCTCACAGGAGCCCAGCATTTCTCCTCATATCCTCTCATACAGCTCTGCTCTGAGACGGAGAAGCAGCTACAGCTTCCACACACGCAGGTTAAAGGTCTGCTGCTGCACACTCCGGCTGGCCGGGCTGCTGTAGTAGCCCCGGGTCCTTTATGGGTTTATTTTGGGGAAGAGAGAGAGGCGCTTTTTTCAGCCTGTTCCGCCCAGGTTTACAGTCAGAGCTCAGTTCTAATGGGACCCCTGACCCGCTCACTGCTGCGCCTAAAACTATCACCATTTTGCTCTCAGCTCTCTGTACGGTGTGCTTTCCTGCTCTTTATCATCAGCCTGCTGTGTTGTTTTTGGCGCCGTCGTGTTTTATTTTGTGAGATCATATCTGCGCAACTGAACAGTAGCTCCCGAAAGTTTAAGGCTAAAGCAATCGACTATGAATAAAATTGTGCTTCATATCCGCAGATTGATCAACTTTTTGACTGATTGACTGTGTTATTGTTATTGTTTTTAGGGTACTGAGTTGTGTATTATTTATTCGTTTTATTTATTGTTTATTATTCATTTTACCTTTGGTGGTACTTGATTGTTGTGACATTTAGTTATTAATTTATTTTTTATTATGTGTAATTTTAATTTCGTAACGAATATGACAGCCGTCTTTAATTTACACTCACCTCGTTTCCTTTTTTAACATGTATATCAGTCTACTACTATTAGCAGCTTCTGCCTTCCCTCACACTGCAGTCCTCCTCTTACCTTTCCTCATTAAATTCGCTCCCTGCGGTGGGCGGGGCTCTGTGCTGAACTCTTTGGCTTTCTTTCCCCACGCTGGCGGCTCGAGCGGTCGGAAAGGCGCTCTGTGCGCGCGCGCCAAGCGCAAGGCTTATTTGTTTGTTTGCCCCCACGCGCATCAGTAGCGAGGTTCGAGGAGCTGCGGCTAACAGAGCGCGAGAGCAGGTGACAGAGCTGAAGCAGCCCGCGAGGGTTTTCACACCTCATTTCAGCGGGGTGGGTCATACAGAGCCGTTGGTTTAATGTTTCCCACCTGTTTTCCGACACATCCCGCCCTCCTGCGCTGGGATTGGCTACCTGTAACTCGCCTCCGGCGCGAGGATTGGTTAGTAGTTCATACTCGGAGTAAGTTCGCCGTTTGACGCTTCGAAGGAGAGACCAGCTTTTATAATTGTTATTAAATGATTTACTGCAGCAAATAGCAAGTTACAAAAAACGAAAAATAACATAATAGAAAAAAATAAGCTTAACATGCATGCTACAAATACTAAAACTATATAAGAAACGAAATTTAAGTCGTTCTAAATATCATCATAAATTGTAATTTTGTTTAAGCTTTTTCTTAAAGGTATTTCTTTTATAGACCTTATTAGTCTGGCAAAGTCCAATTAGAAGAGATCAAATTTGGGTATCCTGAAAAATGCATGTGTACATGTAATATGTACTCATTAAAAGCATAAAATTATTATTTACTAAGTATCATTATATAAGTAGCATATTGCGTCACTGTATGTTAAAATTAGTACTGGACTTTCTTGTGAAGAAAACAAAAATGTAACCACGCGAGTCCAGCTACTGCAGACGGCGCGAGTATGAACTTCCAGCCAATCCCAGCGCCGGAGGCGAAAACTACTAGCCAATCCGGGAGCAGTAGGCGGGGCTTGTCGGAATACGGGTGGGGAAAAAATCAATATAGCTCAGCGTCGTTACCACAGCGTGTTCAAAACTGGAGACGGTCTCTTTCAGCGTGTGGTTTTTGGACACACTGACCTCTTTGAGTGTTTCTCGCTGCACAGCCGGCTCTGTTGGAAACCCAGGCTCACTTATAACAGCCCTTCCGAAAAGAAAAGCTCGGGGAGAGTGATGTTTGGCGCAGAATGGAGGTCCAAACATTGACGGAGATACCCACACGGATCTTTTAGCAGGTAGAGAGAGCTAAACACCGGGGTAAACACCGCCTCATCACACTGGGATTTACTCATTTCCCTTCACTTTCTCATTCAGTAGCATCTCGCCAGCGAATAAGGATCTTTGGCTAAACTTTACATGAGGACCAACTGAGGAGAATCGACCGCAGAGATACTTTGCTGCTTGTGAATGTATTTTCTCAGTAAGTGTTTCTCCTCGGATTGCTTTGGGAGACTGTTCATAGCCTGACTGCAAACTCGCAGCGTTTCGTTTCGGAATTGAAGCGCTTCTGGGGTATAACAAACTCGAGAAATTGGGATACTCGTAACACAGTGACTTGCTTTGGAATTTAGCATCATTAGCCATCACTTATAAGAGGCTCCCTGACTCAGCCGCTTGCATAGTAAGTCACCTTTTTGCTCTCATGCTTAGCTGTTTGCCTGATTCTGGTCACTGTGGTGTTTTAAGCCAAGTTTGTTTCGAAGATGCAGTACAAATGTAAAGGACTAAAAAACTGCTCTGCATTTTACAGCGTCTGTGTAAAAAGCAGGGGTTTGGCCATACTTAACGACGTTTAGTGCCCTGAATTAAAATCTGAAGGGTTCAGATTTAAGGGGATAAGTTGACTATTACAGTTACTGTAAATCCATAAAATGTTCCTGTCTGCCAAAGTTTAATGTCAGTTGTCTTCAGTCCGGTCCAAGTTTCATTGAAATGTGGTACGAGGGAATAACAGGACCGCCTGTGTTCTGTGATCAGGCAGTGACTGTAAAGCTGCTCAGGTCAAAAGGTTTTAACGCGCATTTTGTTCCCCATTCACAGTTAGGTGTCCTCATTTCAGACCTCGCTGAAAGGGGTCCTGCGAGCTCGACCACTGCAGTGAGCTGAAAGTTTACTAACATCACGAAGCCAAAAGAATTTTACTTGCAGTCCAATTGGTTGTGGCTGGCGCCCCCTACTGGCCAGCTCGCTCACAGAGATGATGCAGACAGCTGCGCCCCGAAAAAGCGCTAACGCCGATGGTTTTGGACTTGAGCCTTAGAGCAGGGAAGCGTCCTCCTCAGCACTGCTGAGCATCGTCATCCTCTAACAGAGCATCTTACAGTTTAGGCTCTTCATCATTTATTCAGTCTAATATTATGCTATTCATCATGTTCACTTACAGCGTTACTTGTTCAGCACATTAAGCAAACGATCTGGACTGAGCTTTTACAGGGTTTCACCGAAATCCAGGAAATCACATACTTTTAACGGTGCAAACCTTTCGACATCATATTTGTTATAGATATATATGTAATTGCTGAATTCATAATTAGGCCTATTTATAATATCCGTGGTGGCCTATTTTTTTTTAACAGGGTCGGCGTTTAATATACTAGTGCAAACAGGACTACAGTACATAGCTTTGAGACCATTTGGCTTAAAATATTTTTATTTATCCCTCTGTTACTGAACACTTGAGTGCAGGAATATTTCTACATATGCACCAGGAAGCGCCTTCGTATCGCAAAATTAAGTAAACTAAGCTTAGCGAATCACCATCCTGTAGTTTTACTTGGGGGGAAAAGTATGTATTTATGTATTTTTGCAGTATATAATGAATAAGTGTATTCTGCAGTGAAGACACTGAATTCTAATGTAACAGAACTGTGAGAGCGCAGCTGTGAATGCACATTTGGGTATTTTCTGACTGTTCGTATTTCTAAGTCAGGCCGGTAACTGATTTTAATGAATTTCCCCCTTCTCCCCCTTCATTTAGATTTTATTCATTTATTTTTAACGCCCTGTTGGGATAACTCATTAATCCAGATTGTGTACTGGCCTTTTCACACACCCTGACTGTCCGTTATGAGCCACACTGCGTAAAGCCTGCGGCTGTTTGTGCCGCCTAAGTCCACAAAGGGAGTTTATTTGAATGCATCGTTAAATTGACGTTATTCTCAGTAGCAAATGCTTCATGCAGAGTTGTTTTCTAAAATTATTTTAGAACCACACGTTAAGAGATTTTTAAAATTAGATATAATAATAATAATAATGATGATGATGATGATGATGATGATAATTACAGATTAATATAAAGGGGAAAACCGCTACGCTGAAAAAAAATCAAAATTTATTTATTTAGTTTTAAGTTAATATAATAGTTAAGATATTATTATTATTATTATTATTATTATTATTATTATTATTATTATTACAAATATGTGTTTGCCAAAAATCCAGCTGCTCGGCTTTTGTCCTGGACACTGAGACTTTTATGAAATAAATGTAAACAAATGAGCAAAACCCGCTTTAGTGCAGCGGTTCATTCTCAGCGCAGTCAGACTGGGGGGGCTGCGAATGAGCCATCAGCGAGTTTAAAACGGCTAAAACAAAAGCATATGCTGGTGGAGGGCTGCAGGTTTTGGCGGAGAGAGTGAGGGTTATTAGAGAGACCCCCAGACTGTGGGGGAATAGCTTAGCGCTCTCGGTGGCGCTTCATTGATTTAGACCTTCATCTCAACCGTCGGTGAGAACTTTACACGCAGTTTAGGATCCCTAACCGAGAAAAAGGGGAAAATGAACTGCATCTCCAGCAGAATGAGCCTTAGCTTTAGGCTAATGTCTTTACTGAGGCGACTAAACGGTAGAATAGGACTGTTAAATGTTGAGTAAAAATATGAGAAAGAAAAGAAAACATGAACTTAATAAATGTATTGAATTATTTTTGCAACTTCAGTCGTTTCTCGATACCCGATTATTCGCCTTTATCAGGCAAACAGTAAAACAAATGGCGCTTTTAAACTTGAAGCGAGTAACCACGTTAACTTGTGTTAAGTTCTCTGAACTTACGTCAACACATATAAAACACATTTTTCTTCTGTTAACTTAATATTATAAAGTTAATAAACTCAAAACTTCAAGTTAACTTGGTTGCTTGCTTTTTAAGTATAAAAGCTGCATGATTTTTTTTCTTCTGTTTCCACAATTAGCAAATGGGGGATTGCAGATCTGAACACATTACTGCATCCAAAAACTCCCACCTTTACTGCCTCCTTTAGGAAGCACAAATGGGAGTAAGAACTGATCAATGGAAAGATAAAGGACATCTAATAGAAGTTATTCTAAACAACTAGAAATAAAAACAGCATTTCTTCAGGAATTAAAGTCAGTATCCCTGAAAATTTAGGTTTATAGTTTAGGCCTGAAACTAAACTCCTGTCCATCATGCACTAGACACTGAAAGTGCTGTTATAAATGTGCCAGGGTCAGTTTCCTGGACAAGGATTAAGCTTAGTCTTTGATTACACAGCATTCTGAATGGAAATTCTCCACTGAAAGGAAAATTTAGTCTGGTACTAGGTTTAATCCCTATCTGGGAAACCCACCCTAAATGCAGTTATAAAAATATTCTCAGCTCAATCCCAAGCATGCATTGGCTAGTCTGCCTTGGACAGTACTGCCCAAGCCAGTCTTGCCTCAACGTCCATACTTTAGGATGGGATTCAGCAAAGTCTTTCACTCAGGTCAGTCTAAGAGGAGTCCATTAGAGAACGGCTGGATCATTATTTATTTAAAAGTGGGCAGGGTTACAGGTTTGTTGACCCGGAGTGACTAATTATGGGTATTATATACCGCCCAGTCCACGCACATTTCTATCTTCTGCAGACTTCCATTAAATACATAATACATCTTACATGCTTTCTGCTTAACAGTGGTCCAACCATAAACTACCCATCAGCGCGCTGCCATCAGGCTGCTTTTTGTTGGAATTGCGCAGATAAAAGTTGTAACCTCAAAAACATTTTCTCTAAAGGTTTGGAAGGAGAACGAAAACCACCCCATTGATCTCGCTCGCAAAAAGCAGTAAATCACTAAAAGCGCCTATTTATGCAAAATATCAGATATCTCCACATTCTTTGTTCTCTGGTTAGGGCGACCATTTGGTCCGTTGGTAATTTAGAATGATTAAGTGAAATGAAGGGTGGGGGACTGCTCAGATTTGCAGTCCAAGCCGTGCTGGACGCGGGCAGTAACGGGCCGGCCTGCACGCTGGCCTGAGGGGCTGGAGGCCGCTGTGCTGTCCTGGGCTGCGTGTCCATCAGTTTTATGAGATATGTGAACGAGGCTAGGCCCTTCAGGCTGAAAGGCCTCAAGCTGCACAATTGCACATATACACAGAGTAGTCTGACACATGCATATTCAGTGAAACACAGGGGCACCGACCATCATACACAACCACAATACATGGCTTCCACACATTACACGGTACTCACTCTCACTAATCCACATACAGAACATGTGATCATACAGATATGATGTGATCTATCATAGGCATTTACAGTAAAAATGCACAGCCACTACAGAGGCAAGCACTTGCAGTACTGTTCTTGCATATGAATAATTAGAGTAAAATTAGGGATGGGCAATATGACAAAAGTGTAACACCACAATAGATCAAGACTGTTTTATGATGCATGATCTGCATCTTGACATTTAGTTTTTCGAAGGTTTAGTGTTTTGGGACAAACAAGCCACATTTAAAAGGCATTTAAAAAACTAATATAAACTAGTATTGATGGGTATCAGAGTTGAGCCAATATCAGCAGAAAATGCTGGATGGGATTTCAGAGAAGGAAAAGGAATAAAGCTGATCCAAAACAAATGTGTTCTGTAATAGCCCGTTCTCACATGTGATGTATTGTTAGCGGTGTATTTCTTCCTCTGGGGTAGTAGACTGTGACTAGTTTGATGTGACTATCATGATATCCCACTTTTAGATGCTTGTGTTCAGTGAAGTGCTTCAATCCAAAATAGCTAGTTTTAAAGCTTAGTAGTTTTTAAAGAAAAGGTTTCAATATCGGGTTTGGAAAAGAAAAAAGTAGCATCATGCCTTCTTTTCTAGTTATGCTCTGTTTAAAATAAGTGTTTAGTATTTTTTGTTTATTGACGACATTAAGAAAAGCATATTGTGCCATAATTTATCATAACAATAAATATAGTCATTTTGCCCATCCCTAAGTAACGGCCTAATGCTGTGAGTTTGAACTAGGCAGGTGTTTGTGTGTCTATGATAAATGACCTGCTTTCTCTGTTCTCTGCAGAGCTGCTCTTGCAGGATGATCTTCAGAAGCAGGCCGCTCTGCTCAGGCTGTGTCGGAGCGATGGACGCACGGCATGGAGTGATGGCCATCACCTTCCTGGCCTTCTTTATGCAGGTGGTGGTGGAGGCTACCTCATGGTGGTACGTTTCTATTTATGAGCTATATACACTGCCCAAACATGACTCTATTTGTGTGTGTGTGTGTGTGTGTGTGCATGTGTGCATGTGTGCATGTGTGTGTGTGTGTGCATGTATGTGTGTGTTTGACTGTGAGGTTGGCCAGACAAGCTGCAATGCCAGACGAAGCGTGGATAATGGATTTGACCAGACTAGATCAATGCATACTCCTTCTCTTTCCTTCTTTCTTTCTCTCCTTCTCTCTTTCTCTGTCTGTATTTCTTTGAGTGCTACATTGTGACTTAAGTTGGTGTGGTTCCGTCTCTTGGTGTCCCACCACATATGAACTCGTTCTAAAAAAAAAAAAAGAAAAAGAAAATGAAAGCCTCGCTCCAACATGCTGACTTTAGCACATACACGTTGCTCACATCTGACTTTTTCCCCCTTCTTTATTTTCTTTTCCCCTGCATTGCCAAACCAAAATGATGAATATTATATAAAACATAGAATGCTGTGGTTTTTGAATGAATTTCCAAATATGTGCCGGCACGAACCGTGTAGGCTCGCTTTTTTGTGCGTGTGAGTGAGTTTCTATGGGCTTGTCCTTCCTACTTCCATTAATAGCAAAAGGCAAAATTGGTCCGCTCTGTTCCAAATATCAGACAAACCAAATGTATTTGTTAGAGGGGGGAAAAAGATGCTTTTGCTGATTACTGGGTATGTTTTGCTCAATATGTATTACTGCGAGGCCTACTTTGGTTTCCAATATTGTGCATTTGAGACTTTCTTAACTCTTTTAACTAATGGAAAAATGAATTGCTCGCTATAACTCCATCCAAATGCTTTCAAAACTGAAGATTCAGGGAAAATGGTAATTCTTTTTTTTTTTTTTTTTTTTTAATCCAAAATACAGTTTTTACCCTTTTGGTTTCTCTGTAGTCTCAACAATTCCAGCTTTCATGAGTTCTGCAATGACGCCTGAATCCATTACAGTTTCTTTGTAGGCTGGAATGGAGCAAGCCTGCCTGGTTGCATGCTTCATACACATAGGCAATAAATCCAACCTCGTCACATCTCTAATTACTTGATTTGCTGGAAGAAAATGAATGGACTTATATTTGAAACAGGCTCGTCTTCCCTGAATGGAAGGGCTGATTTCATTGCCATTTTCTGCATGTTTACTCTTGCTACATATGATGCCTACTTCTGCATCCTTCCAGACACACTCTGCTGATTGGACAATATGTTATTTGACAGTGGACAAAACAGAGCTGCTTCCTTCCCCCATGCGTTCATTACTAGTCCTGTCCACAAGTGCCCAAGGCACAGCTGGGATACCAACTAGGCCCCAACTGATATAAATGTTGTCATTAATACCATTTTCTTTTAAGAGCTAAAAATCTGGTAACTGATTACTCAATATAATTAAACAACAACTAATAAATGTAGTTAAATAGTACTTTACAGAGTGGTTAGTTGTCAACTGTTAACTCTATCAGTTACTTATAATCACTATATTTGAGAAATTGCACAAATTCCACAATATTGGAGTGCTGGGGATGGAGCTGCCCAGAATTCTAAGCTCTCTTTTCAGTATCTGTTCATTACTTTTCATTACTTCTCTTTGATAAAGTTGCATTTTGTGACATTAATTTAATGCTAAAGGTTAGATTATGATGGGTTTTACATGTTTTTTGTGTGTGTTAAAGTGTACTAGTTCAGCCTGCATTGTTATAATGAAAGCAAGCAATAGCTTGCTGCTGACTTGGCAGCCTCTGAAATGGTCGTGTTGGAAATCCAACCAACACGACCACTTCAGTCCCTGGAGTATCCACCACTCTGCTGGGAAGTTATAATACAATGCATCACTTATCTTATATCTTATAGCTATAGCACAACAAGCATGTTAGCTTGTGACTAGAGCATTAAATTAAGATACTATAAATACAGCTTTTTTCAGATATTTTCATTTCATACTGTTCATGCGCATATAAACTGAAAATGAAAACATTAACATAAGACACTTTGTGTATCTTTACACCCCAACTACTCTGTACAATTTAGTAACTTCATTTTAATCCATCAAGGAAAAAACAGAAAAAATGCCAAAATGTGCAGGACCAGGGTTGGGAACCTGTGATATCAAGCTAGAATTTGGGCCGGTACCAGTAAATCAGTGAAACTTAGTCGATATTGTTGACCAGTCGATGTACTGATTCGGCCTTAGTGTGAACCTGAGCCTCAGTCCTGTGGTTTATCTTTGTATTTCAGTGCTGTGCTTTTGCCAGCTATAGACAGAGCCAGATTCCCCTTTCTTAATCCTAAATTCCACTTTTCTGTCTGAGCCTCTTAAGACTAAGTAAGACTACCCCTAACTACCCAAGATAAGAGATTCCCTCTATAATGTGGATAACGATCAGGATTATCTCTCTTTTTACAACTAGCTTACAGCAGACAACTGTATACTTTTAACAAGAATGTGGAAGACTGTGTGTACGTGTGCGCGTGCAGATTGAATCCCTGCTCTATTCTCTGAATGCTCACACGTGCTAATGATTTACTGTGTCTAAGAAAATTGTTGGGGGCACTCTGCTTCCCCCTGCTATAATTTCCACAGTGTATCATATTTCCTAGTGGACTAATTGAGAGTGTGTGTGTGTGTGTGTGTGTGTGTGTGTGTGTGTGTGTCTTCCAGGTCTCTGGCTATGAATCCGCTGTTGATTCCTGAAGCTTACATCATAGGAGCTCAGCCTCTGTGCAGTCAGTTGGTAGGATTGTCTAAAGGCCAGAAGAAGCTATGCCAGCTGTACCAGGACCACATGCAGTACATAGGCGAGGGAGCCAAGACGGGCATTCGCGAGTGTCAATACCAGTTCCGTCATCGCCGCTGGAACTGCAGCACTGTGGACAATTCCTCCGTGTTTGGTCGTGTCATGCAAATCGGTGAGTGTTTCGGCTGCGGTTTGGATCCAGTACAGCTAATAAAGCAATAAGCCAAGAGAGGCAGTGCATTTTTTTTTACCACAGTTAATAAGTGAAACAGAGTAAAAACCCCTTAAACTTAGCACAAAGGCACAGGCTCAAGAGGTTAATTACTTTTATAAATATTGGCAAAAAAATCTAATAAAATCACCACTGAACATATTCAATCAGTAATGTAATTCATTATATAATTGCTATAAACAATTCTTCCACCATTCACTGTAGTTCATTTACTGTATGCTGTGGATGTCAAGCAACATACTAGTGAAATATGAATTAATGAACAGCACAGCTGTTGGTGTGCAGAATTTGATGTGTGTGATCCAGTGTATTAAAGTAATAGGAACACAAGGACTGTGTGTTATGCATTTAGGCATAAGACACAGTGTTTTATAAGATGGCGATTACATCAGATGCAATGAAATACGCTAAATAATTTGTTAGAAATAATAATCACAAAAAATAATTCTTCCACCATGAAATGTAATTTGTTTAGTGTATGCTATTATTGCCAATCACCTATCAACTGCTGAAAGAAGACAACTTTAAGTTGCCAATCATTGCACTTTTTTTTAAATTATTTTCTGTCTTATAATAACATAAATATCATAATATAGCTTGTTTAATAGCTAAATGCAGAAACCTACGCCTTGTAAGTAGTATTGGCTCACCAAATTTCCACCACAAAGATTATGCTCTTGCATCAAAATGAGATTTCTTACATTGTCTTAGCTTTAAGCTAATGGTGGAGCAAATTTGTTTTTCCCACTAAGTTTAATACTACATAAGACACATTTAACCTAAAGCATGGACATTTAAAGTATGCAAGACATTCAAGTAAAATTCTTTACTTATTTACTTTGCAATTTTACAGTGAATTCTTCAGTAAATACTTTGGTTCTAAGTCTATTATAAAGGAGGAGAGACTTAACTTGTTGGTTTAGGATTTAGTGATTCATGAGCGCAGCATAAGTCCATTCAAAGCACAGTATTTTTTATTTTTTATTTTTTAAGTGATGACGCATTAACACAATTCTTTTATTGTGAAGCGGTCATAGGTGTGCATATATCAAATATTTTACAAAGGTCTGTGGTTCAGCCAATCAAATTTTGAGACCAAAACTACCTATTTTCATGACTATTTTGCTAAGGCAGCCAATCGGATTTTAGAACCGTTTTCTAAACTCTAGGAATGTCCAATAAAGTGTGTTTTTTTTTGTTTTTGTTTTTTTTGTTTGTTTTTTTTTTGTTTTTTTTTATTCAAAGTATCGTCTGTGACATTTCTGACCAATATTGAAAATATAAAAATGTTGCTGAGATGCTGAGTATGAGGCAAATGCCCATCTGCAAAACCCATCCTATACACACGCTTCCCATTTTTGGCCTGTTGGGTCCATTTCAAAATACATGAAAATTCTCCTGACATCACCACATTGGCTTAAATGTCCAACAGTAGAATGTAAGCTAGACTTTTCCTTGTGCCTCCACTGCTCTAAAGAGACACCACTGATTCTTTACCCCATCAGTCTAAACTTACCAGCCACATCTTTGGCTGGCACTTTCATGACATAGACATATTAGGTGCAGACTCTATCATGACCTCCCAAAGGTTCCTCTTCCAGACCAGAGGTTTGGAACTGTCGTAGATGTTGTCTCACGCACGGCATGCTTCTTCACTTTACGCAGCACTCCAGAATGAGATTAATGACTGAACGTGGCTGTGGAAATGAAGGGATCAATGTTGTAGCCAATACATAAGACTACTCAGTTTGCTCTGATTATTGTTTGTGACTTACGGATGCTGGTTGAGCTGGAAAGGGGTTGCGCCTTATGGCCCTTCTCGAAACGCACTGCTCAAAATTGAAAATCTAAAAATTTATATGTAATATTCTGTCTTAGACCTTTGACTCTAAACTGAGCCTAATCCTTTTTCCTCTTTACTTTTTATTTTCTGAGCCTTTGGAGTGTGGGATTGATCGAATGATGTTTTATATACAGATTTAGTCAAATAATAATCAGAGGAAACTCCTGTCTTAAATAAATAAATAAATAGATAGATAGATAGATAGATAGATAGATAGATAGATAGATAGATAGATAGATAGATAAATAAATACACTAACATTTTGAAATTTGAAATTTTCTTTATTTTTTATTTAGTTTTTCATCTTTGTTTTTGATTTCAGTTAAGTTTGTTAGGCTGCAATAATGCTTTTAGTTCTGTTTGTATTTTCTGAGAAGTAATAATTTGTTTAGTTTTTATTTTGTATTAGTTTTAGTTTTTAATATCGGGATGAACACTGTGACAGTAGGTGTTTAATAAGGGTAGAGTAGAATTAACACAACAGTAGACTGAGCTCAGCTCATCTTCAGCTTTTCAAAACACAAGAGTTCCAATTCTAAACTCCTGTTTAAACACAGAAAAAAAGAAAACTAGGTTTTTTCATTAATTCTATTTTGTTTTAGTTAGTTTTGCAATGAACATTAGTTTTGCTTTCATTTTTATGTTTTGAAATTTTTTTTATTATTACAGTTAACTAGCACATTTTTCACTGCAAGTTTTAGTTAATTTTAGATGACTGTAATAATCCGTGTGTGTGTGTGTGTGCGCAGTCTATAAATATACAGTGTAGTTGTTTTATATTTGCAGAGTAGTGGGTTTTCCTTTTTGGGGGCAATGTCTACTTAATGCGAAGAGGGTGCACATGGTATTGCTCATTTTTAGCAGCTGTGGTCAAGAGGAATACTTTTACAGTGAGGTCTGTGAATAAATCAAAATGGAGACTGCCTCCAAATGGCTCTTGCCTGACACTGAGAATGGTGAGTAATTGGGTTTTGCCTAAATGTATCTCGGCTACTTTGCTCAGAGCTAGCACAGAAGAGTGCCTGCTAGTCTCAGCCCTGCTAGTGGAACAGTAGCCGCGGTGCTAGCTATCATTTTGTTTCTAATTATGTTGTATTACTGTAAGGATGTTCTCGCTTGGTGAAGTCACTCACTCTAAGTGTACTGAGCCTTTGTGGACCTCTGTCGGTGCAAAATGGTGAGTTTGGAGGAAAAAAAAATCCAAATGCCACATCAGCAGTCGTAAAGGTGGTTGTGCGGTGGCGTTTTTGACCTTTACAAGCTAACTCAGACCTAGTCGCTTTGGAGTGATGTTGAGTTTGGCTCAGCTTTCCACTTGTACACATCTGAAATAGTAAGTGATTTTGGTCAGCCTAGCTAAGGGCTGTAAGATCACTCAGAACATTTATTCCCTTTAAAATTATTAGCATGGAATACAACTACATGTAGGTAAGCTAACTTTTAATATGCATTTAATAGGTATCCTAATAAGTATACATTTTTCTCCCTTACATTTATTATAAGCTTATCACCATTGTTGAAGTTTTGTTTTTTTGGCATGTCATGCTAGGTCTATACTAATTTGTTAATTCTAATCTAGGTTGTGGTTACTTACTAACGGAAACAGTGGTTTGTTGATTGTGGTTTGTTGCATAGAGGTTTGCTAATCCTTGGAGGATATCTAGCTCAGTGACGTTGCCAACTTTGGGCAAGAAATTACTATTAAAAGCATGACTCATATTGAGGTAGGTGTAGAATGTAAAATAAATTGGCATAACCAGCGTGTTGAGCCAGAATTTTGCGGTTGGTGGCTGGCTTATGGGGGGGTGTCTGAATGTGATCTTTTGAATGTGATCATGAGGCTCTTTGATTTATGAATGTCAGTACCACATATGTACTTGCCATTACCAAGGTTAATTACTACTTTTTACCAAAAAGGAAGAGCTCTTTTCTTGCCACACTGTTGGCTTTGTTATTGACAATTTCTATTAAGTAGGCTATTTGGACCACCATTCGCAATTAAATTCCCAGTAATCTTCATAGCTGTCCTTTCCAACAGGTGGATAAGTGAACTTGTCTTCATTTCAGACTCCTCATGGTCTGCCTTTTTTTCTCTCTTTTTTGCTTTGAGGTCACCACCTACTTGGCCAAGTTGTGGTTTAAAACAAAAATCTCTAGCTACATCTCAACCCAAACTCTATTTCAAATGATGGAAATCCCACAAAGATCTAGCAGGCCCAAGAAACTATCCACTTCTGTCTACCTCAGCTTGTCCTGAAGATGGATTGTAGACATGGTGCCCTGACCCAGGTTGGAAGCTCCTGGTTTTGGTGAGGGTTGGGTCATAGGAAAATGGAAAGGGGGTCGAGAGGGGAGGGAGGAGCTTTTTTGAGGACAGCATGCCTCTCAACAGCTCTGCTATGAGGCCCATCTTCTTTAAACCTTTTTAAAATTGAGGAAAAACTTAGTAACCTTTCCTCTGCTTTGTCGACCCTTCCACAAGAATCTTTCCATCTGGACGACATTGATTCTCTCTCTCTCTCTCTCTCTCTCTCTCTCTCTCTCTCTCTCTCTCTCTCTCTCTCTCCATCTTAATCTTACCCTCTTATTTCATCGCCTGCATTGTTTTAGACTGGAAGGTGTCTACTTTGTTCAGCTGTGGGTCAGGAAGCTGCCTAAATCCTTGGTATAGCCTTACATTCTAAATCCCATGTCTGTGAAAAACCTGCTTCTTATAATAGGCTATTATTAGGTCTTTTCAAAAGTAATAGACTCTCTGTAAAGGGGCATAGTCTTAAGTGCACAGTGTGCCTCATATATGATCTTCCTTCTAATGCTGGAAAGCCCGTGGTCTTTTGGGTATCCCTCAGGCATAATATGAAAATTGCCTCTGAATGGTTGTGGATTGGGGTTGTTAAGGGTCCCCCTGCAAATGGAGGCCCCCTTTGCAGACTGCTTGAAGGTTAGAATTGCTATTGCTGGGAAAAAATGGCCACCAGCAGGGGGCATTATCACATTTCTGGAGCACCTGTGCGTCCTTGGGCACACAGCTAGATGTACAGTATGTCAGTAGAAGAGATCCATCCAAATGCATGGCCCCACTTTCGATTTACTGCCAAATGGAGTCTTCTGCAGGCCTGGATTTCTCAACATGGATGGATATGTGTGTAGCCCCCATGGGCAGATGGCCTAAAGAGGTCTTGGATTCTGTTTTCTCTTGGACTCCTTTAGGCTTGCGGGCATTGATGCATAATGAGTTGTCCACATGGTTCCATTGCAAGACGACTTTATGAGAGATGCAATTCTATAAGTTATCTGATTGCCCTTATCATTAATCATTGCAGTGGACGCTCCAGAGAACATTGTGGCCAAGAAGCTCATCTAAAGTACTAAACAGACATGTACAGTATATTATGATCTGAAGAACTCTCAAGAGTTCAGGATTACACTTTGTCCATATAAATATAGTACCTGCTGTTGTTACCAGTGCTGTTCCAATTGCCTCTACTGCCAAGTGTAAAATTAGCCTTTATCTGTGTTACTTTTTTTGCCCTCCCCATTGAGACATGATTTTTACACATTTAAGTCAGCAGTATGAACTAGGCATTCAAACAGAAAACACTGGTCCAATGGCCTAAAGGGGCAAACTATGAACTTGTGACTATGAAACTATGGACATGTAATTTTAATAGCCTGAAGCACTAGAGATTGTGTAGACCATACATATCACTTTCTCTGAGGCTGACTAATGTCAGTTAACATCACATTAATAGTATCTGTGCTTGTGGTAGGTGCGCTAACTGCTGAAATTAAAGTTGCTGTAAATTTAGCTGAGCTGAACATCTGTAATGTATTTTTCCTCAGTGATCCCATTCATAGAGCAATTGAAAGAGGTGCAAATAACAAAATATTAGGTTTTGTTTTGAGGTCACTGTAAGTATTTGCTTTCTGGCGAACTGTCTCATTTTTTTGTTGCATTATTATCTTGGCTTACTTAAAAAAATGATCCTGTGGTGCACTTGCTAATAGCCAACATGATACACTTTCAGGCATTAAACCATTAGGTTTGCATGGTCGAGTTTCCATTTATGCTCAAATTATCAGTTTGTATTCTTATGGTGGGGAAAGGGGGGAAAAATGAGGCTCACAAAAGGGGTAAGAATAGCTATATCATAGGCAGGGAGTGAGGCAAGAAGTGAGGCAGGTGTGCTTAGAAACACACTGTAAGTCTTCATTAACTGTGCTCTTTACCCTTGTTTGATTTCTTTTATGAACTGGATGTCCTAAATGGAGAGTTCCATAGCTTTTCAATGTGATATTCAGATAAAGAGCTTTTTATTGTAGTTCTAACAAAGACATTTATCAGTAATTCATATATAAAAGCATTAATATATAAATATCTACAACTTGTCACTATCAAACCCAGTAGAAATAAGTGAGCATAGTTGGACAAGTGTTGATATACCCTCCTCTATCACTTTACTTTTTTCTAACCATATTGTACCAGCCATTAAAACTAACTATTAACCATTGTATTTTCAGACTGGAATTCTTGTGGTAAGATTAGATGGTTTATATTTTTGTATATCTCAAAGCTGTTTCATAGTTATTCCCAAAAGTGGCCAAAAGAAGGGAAAAAGTTTTTTTTTTTGTTTTGTTTTGTTTTTTCCCTGAAGAAAAAGTGGCTTATAATGAGGTGTCAAAATATAACAATATCTAACCCTGCACTAGAAATTTTAATGTTAATGAAAATTTGAAATAGTGATGAACATGATTTCTTTACCTGTCCTACAGTGGTCATTGCAGACACTTCTAAACAGTTTGACCACCTGTGTCACCTGTGGTGTTTAGCTGTGTGGAACTATTTTATAATTTTATTTTTTTTCAAAAGCATATATAAGAGTAAAAACCTTTCGGATTCAGTCAGAAATTTTAATGTCAGTGTATTGGTACTAAATGCGTAAAATGTTAATGGGTCTTATTCACTAATGTCTTACTAAGTTTTTTTCTTAAATTTGTTCTTGCGAAAGATCCTAAAAAAAATCTGTCATATTCATGACGTGTGCTCATGAGTGTGCGTACATTCTGTTCTTACCTAAGAACAAATGCCAAATAAGAAAACACTGGTTGTCAGAATCGTGAAAACTACGTAAGTGATTTTTAAGAAAAAGTTTCTTCTCAGAAACGGTTGGTGAATGAGACCCATTGTTCTTAGAATTTGTTAATACATAATAACCTTTGACCATCCCCTTTCCGTAGCTCCCTTGTTAAGCATAATTTTTTGTTGTTGTTTTTGTTGTATAGGAAGCCGTGAAGCTGCATTTACGTACGCCATTAGCGCGGCAGGCGTGGTGAATGCAGTGAGCCGAGCCTGCAGGGAGGGGGAGCTATCGAGTTGTGGCTGCAGCAGAGCAGCCAGGCCTAAAGATCTGCCCCGGGACTGGCTCTGGGGAGGTTGTGGAGACAACCTCAACTATGGTTACCGCTTCAGCAAGGAGTTTGTGGATGCCCGCGAACGAGAAAAGACCTATGAAAAAGGCTCAATGGAGAGTGCACGACTATTGATGAACCTCCATAACAATGAAGCAGGACGGAGGGTAAGCCATTACTTTTATGACTCTGTCAAACAAGCGTAGGAAAAGTTTCTTCAAATTAGATCATGCTAATCGCAAATCACATCTCACTAACTTTGTGCTAGCACTGGTGGAATTAGGTGTCCTGGGGCCGAATTCACGAAAGTGTCTCAAGAAAGGAAAACTTCTTAAAGCTTTTCTTAACTACATAATAAAAAGTTAAGATCAATTTTTATACTTAAAAATACTTAGGAATTTTCTTAATTTCTGTCTTAGGTTTTCCCTTCACAACAATTATATGATCTAGTTGTTTCTTAAAGTTCTTAAATATTTTCTTAACCTTAGTGTTACACTTGTCTTGAACTGTAAGAATGATCAACCTCTAAAACGTGTCTTTCACAAAATAAAATTTTTAATTATAGTTGTAATTTTGACTACACTATGGAATTTAATGTCATCACAATTTAGCTGTATAAATAACTGGACTAGTACTAGCTTTTGGAAGCATGATGTTTTATCAATTTTCTTAATGATTCTTTGTAATGGGGTTAAGACTAAGGCCTCTAAGGCCTCTTACAGGCCCGTCACTGAATTGTAAAATTAATTGTGAAATTGTGAAACTAGGTAGGTTCAGGTTGCTATATTTTCCTATTTTTTTTTCTTCTGGTATTACTATTCAGAAGGCACCGGGCTGAGGTTCCATGTCTGCAGCATGCCTGATATGGTTTATATGCAGCTGAGAGTGAGCGTGACAGTATGAGAGAGACTGGGAATACAGGTCAATCTGAGCTGTCTATCAGCTCTCATCTGGTTAACAGCTTGCTCTGGCCCGCTGCGTTTGAAGAGTGGGTCTTTGATCTGCTCGTTTCTGAAGCTCTTGGCCGATCCAATCATGATGTCTCTTTTTATTCTCCTTCCACCTTGGCTGAAACCATCTCAAAAGAAAATCTGCAGCCTGCTGAGGGAACTACACTCCTGAATGATAAATGTTGTAAATAAAGATGAGCCACGTCAGTTCTGACTGAACGAATTTAGGTTAATCCGTACAGGTGACTGGCAGCTTTTGTTCCTAGTTATACTGAAAGAAAAAAAGTTAAGTTGCAGAGAGGAAGATACATTCGAAGCAGGCTTGAGAGCAACTGTAGTGGTGTTTTTTAGGGATGCACCGATATAGGAAGGGTGCACCGATGCTGATATCTGATATTTTTCATGTGCATATCTGCTAATGAACATTTTATAGAATGTTGAAATTGGAGTTACCTGGAGCTAATCTACCTGGATTAGAATATGCATAAATGTAATATTTATTTCTGTAGGGTCACAAATGCGGTAAAATAATTAAATGCAGATATTTTAGTGCAGTAGCCCAGCGTGGTCGAAACATTCTGCTTTTGATCAAATTTATCCACTGCTGTTAAATATATGTTGGACTAAATATATTTGGATATCTTTGTGGTTTCCGTGAAGGTGTTTTGACTGGACTTTTTTTTCTGACACTAGAATTTACTAGCCAAGCTTTAAAACAGCAATAATTTTCAATCAGACCTGGCAAACCTCAAGGAATTAAACCCTCATGCTGATTAAATATGTAAAGTTTACTTGGATGAATTGTTAAGTTTCACAGTCAAGCAGACACCATTGAAACGAGTGTATAATTAAGGCTAACTGTAAAAATATAAGCTATTGGTTAGACACTTTATATGTACTGTAGGCACAAGGCAGTGTATCTTAAAAGTATATATTTTCTTTCTTTCTTTCTCAGATGGTGTCAGACTTGGCCCACGTCTCCTGCAAGTGCCATGGGGTGTCAGGCTCCTGCAGTCTCAAAACGTGCTGGCTGCAGCTGGCTGACTTCCGAAAGGTGGGCGACGCGCTAAAAGAGAAGTACGACAGTGCCACTGCCATGAAACTAAACAGCCGTGGCAAGCTGGTGCAGGTGCACTCCAAATTCAATCCACCCACTAGCCACGACCTGGTTTACATTGACCCCAGCCCAGACTACTGCGTTTTCAACCGGACCACGGGCTCACTGGGCACGCAGGGCCGCCTCTGCAACAAAACGTCGGAGGGCATGGATGGCTGCGCTCTTATGTGCTGTGGCCGTGGCTATGACCAGTTCAAGGCCACGCTGGTAGAGCGCTGTCATTGCAAGTTCCACTGGTGTTGCTACGTCAAGTGCAAGCGCTGCTCCCGGGTCGTCGACCAGTTCGTGTGCAAGTAGCCCCAGCCCCTTTTACGAATGCGAGTGAACGAGAGTGTGAAAGAAGATAGGAGAAATGTTGGGGAGGATGTGGAATGGAAAGAAAAAAAAGAAACTATATAAATTATATTTATAGAGTCAAACAATTATACCATGATGGAAAAGACTGAAAGTTCCTCTTTGTGTGTTTTTTGGTTTTGTTTTTGCTTTTCTTTTCTCAAAGCAATAGGTACAAGAAGTTTAAAGAAACTGAATATTTATTTTGTGAGATTTTTCTTCTCTCTTCTAGCTTTTTAAAGTGGAACACTTTAATTTTATTGCAGTTAGTGCAAACTGATAACTCAGATAAAAGCAAAGCCTTTCGATAATCCGCAAAGGGTAAATCAGTTCATTTGGCCTGATAAGTAGTGCACTGGCATTTTACTCGACCACACTGAATGGCTTGAGTAATTCGGTGCTTAAATGTTTTGTTTCAGTCTCAACCACTGCCTGCTGCTCAGAGCCTGTATTTTGTAGATTACAGTGGATATATCATGGTTGTTTGAGATTCATGGATAAGCTCATCAATGTGCCTTAAACCAAAGCACACTTAAGGTTCACAAGCTACACTCCAGTACTTAACGGTCTAGCTTGAACTAATGCAAAGAACTTCCTTTTTTCAGCTCCATGCATCTCTACCATCACATTGCCCTGAACTATTAAACAAGTTTTGTATTTCACAAAATTCTTCACTTGTCTGACAGCTACTCTGATAGGTTTGTCTTTGTAGCCTTCTGCAAACGTCACCGCTGCTTTATGTTGTCACTTGCTTCTCTTGGTGATGCACAAGTGAAAAGGTGGCACCAACTCTATGTGCCTTCCAGGGGTTCCTTGACTACAAATTGTTCACTCTAGGAAGAATGACTGGCCAATTCAGCTCTACTAGTCGCCAAGCCTCACACCAGCCAAATGGGACTTCACATGGTTTTAGGGTATGAAAAGATGATGGGTTTCTCACTGGAGCATGTGCACTGCAAAATCCATTCTTTTCCATATTGATGGTGCTGACTTACAATAGGGGACAGACACTGGGAATTGGAACACTAAATTAGGTCAAATGTTTTAAAAGTTCTTTACTCACTTGTATGTCCAAATTCTTTACATTTTTTTTCTTCTCTTCAAAGGCATATTAATGTTGTCACCACCAGTGGTGTGCTCATCTGCCTGAGAAACAGATGCCTTTTTATTCAAAACTGAAATATTGCTAATTTTTGGGTTCATTGTCATAAACTTTCATTTAACTACTATACAGTTACCACTAGTTATTCTTCTACAATGTCCTTATTTCATTTTTATCATTACTACTATTCATTATAAATTCAACCAGTATATTTATTAGCTGTCAAATTTGAGGCTTTCAAATGGTTTTTATGACTCACATGTATTTGTTTCTTTTAAATCAAGCTGTTAATATGTCTTAATAAATTTTAAACATTAACAAAGTCAAGCAGTGGAAGCAAAGCCCTTGAATCATTGAATCAGCAATCTGTACTTTCCAAAACAGCCATCTGTTTTTCTACTATGCAATTACAAGTACTGCCCCAAAAGCCTCATTTCAAAAAGTATGTGTATATGTATTCTGACATAAACTGACAGTTGTTCTATGTTTGTACAGAAATGATTAAGGTAAAAGTTGTCTGTATTTTTATATTCGTTCATCCAGCACTATTAAGCATCTGCATATGACAGATTCTGAGAACCTGATTCTCTGACTTAAGAAACAAATCAAATTTCAACAAATAAAAAGAGGTCTGGAATCTTATGTGTGGAGTTGACATCTATAATAACACGGGTAACTTGGTGTTAAGTTTTAAGCTTACTTCTATTACATCTGGGTTTTTTTGTTCTTAAAAAATTGTATTGGACTGTGATCAAATGGTCTGGGCTGCTTCTCCCTGAAACCTAGTGGAAACCCTTTTCAGGTGCATCAATAAGGCAGAAATTCACAAGTTTATTATTGAATGACTGGTCAATAGGCATGAGGGATAAAATACTAATTAATTATTGAGTTTATTTTTTAAATGTATTTTTTAATGATATGCATTTGCTATGTTTATGATAAAATGACTGTCGTTTGGTAATATTTGTTTCTAATAATTATCCATATCAAACAATACAGAAAAAAAATGTTGTGATGACATTTTTGCCCCTATTGTCCAGCCAACTAAAAACAAATGTGTTGACCACACAATTTCTCAACTTTGCTCTGAAACACGCTTCACACGTGCTACATGTAGTTTATGGCCCTCGTTTGCTTAGTCTCCATGTGTCACTTCTGGAAGAGCTCAGAAGGACTGGCTAGTGCCGAGATAGCTTTTGGGTTAAAATAGTTCTCAAGGCTGATCACTGCCAATCCAATAAGAAACTATTTTAATCCACAGTGGTTGTTCATGTAACTCTTTCTAGAAGATTCAGAACTAACGTCTACCAGCGTCACTAGGGCCTCAGTTTTTGTTCTTGGAGGACTGTGCTATTGCCTTTCTTTCAGACTCTGCTGCTACGGTTGTTCACATAGTTTGCCGCAGTGGCAGAGCAGCTCATGCGGCCTTCTCAAAGCCACCGCCGCTTTCATTCTTCATGCGATAAAGGAGGTTAGCGGTCCAAGCAGAGGTTTGGAGGGTTCAGATTAAGCGCACTTTCCCAACATCAAGGGGGCCCTGATCTCTGTGGCCGGCATGCTTTATCTCATCTGAAAATATCTGCAGGCATGGCATCTGATGCCTCTCCTGCTAGCGTTTGATGTCTAACACTCAGTTTATCTAAAAGCACATGAAAGAGCCCTTTTCCTCTTGGCCTTACTCCTTGTGCCAGCTAGTCCTGAGCAGCAGTGAGGTGAATGGTGGGCATTTAAGGTGCAAGTCATTGCTAAAGGTTGCTCTGCAAGTAGTAGGCAAGATGTGTTTCACCCACCACTCCTCTGTAGTTTTATTTGTTGAAGTCATGAATCCAAGAATTGAATCTATTAACCGACTTTAGAATCAGATGATATATATAATGTATATCGCTGTTGTTGGAAGAAAACCTCATACCTCCAAAATGGTAACTTTACAGGAGAAGGAAAAAACCTACTTTACTTTTAATGAAAGTCAATGGAGCCAGACTTTTTTCCCCTAGTCATTTTGGACCATTTCTTTTAGTCCATTCATCATGAAATTTACACACAATGTATAGGGTAACACGTATTTTCAAATTATGTGAAAGACTGAAAAACGGCAAAAATGGAGAGGTTTTCTGTCGACAGCAGCGATATATATATACTTTCACTATTACATGATACATGCCACAATTTGGAAAAAAGGAAAAATAACAACTGATTGAAACATTTATACGTGAGCTTGTCAATTACTATGGACAACCAAAGGTGAAATAAACCTCTCAAGAGTCTTGCTACCAGCGTCGCAAATTCAGATAACATCTCCCAACAGGTATAGCTAAATGCCCTACATAAAACCAAACTGCTTTGGATTGGATTAAGCAATAATATGGTCTAAAGTGAATCAGTAGATTTGGCTGAATCCTCTTTTGATCTCCCTGCACATGCAGTGAAGAGAGCAGTGTGCAGTAGATCATGGATGGATGTTTATGTAAGATGGCTATCTGCTAGGGAAAACAGAGAAAAGGGAAGCGGGTTTTACCAAGAAGTGCTGGCTAAACAGAAAAACACAAACTTGGAATAACTGATACCTATCTTTTAGCCACAAAGAGAAAAAAAACAACACACATACACACACAAAGGAGATCATTTAGCATTTGATGGCCCTCTTGGAGTTCGAAATGGAAGCAGGTCCAACCAAAGAATTATATCAGCCTGTAGTTTAGGGTTAGTACTGGAATATGTTACTCTATGTTATGATACTGCTGGAAATGGAAGACTTGTCAGTCCTGGGATCTATAACATACGTCTTACTCCACATTCAGGAAGCTAAAAGTCTGGGCATCTGAGCATCAAGAGCTTTATTCAGAGTAAATGGATCCATCTTTTGAGGGGAACAGGGGTAGAAAAATGCCAAATGCTGTTTTTTTCTATAGTCTATACAAACCAAATGTATTAGTGCCTGAGTCTGTCCCACATGCATCTCTCTTTCCAAGCTAGTATTACAACTTAAGATACAAACCAAATGACCCAATTATATAAATACTGCCAAATCAGTCATCATGACTCCTCATAAAGTCGTAAACTCTCTTTATTTCTCTCAGGGTATTGCCACACTGACACTAAAAGCAGCCTGAAAGCAGACAATACATCTTAATATTGATGACTGTGAGACAGGGCTGCAACTAACGACTATTCTTCTATCGATTAATCTATCGACTATTTTACCCACTATTCGATTAATCTAAACAATTCATTTTCCTACAAAAAATCTAACTGTAACATTCCCTACACAAAGAAATGTGCCTACAATAATGGAAGATATAAAATAATTCGATAAGGTGACACTGACGATGTCGATTAACACAGAATAAGCCCAGAATCTAACCTAAACATATTATCAAACACTTATTCAATGGAAATTCTCAGGTAGCAGGCAGAGGACTTTATGGCTTTAATACTGATATTTTGCAGCTACAGGGACACCAGATTTTGATAATGCTCTCCCTACTAATGGCAATTTAATAAACATGAATAGACAAAACTCAGTGGTTTTGTCAGTCCATCACCCAGAATAGTGCCCGTGTCTTTTCTCTTTAGATGCTCATGCATCACGCCTCAGGTGCCACAACGTAAGTGGTGCCCCAAAACTAATTTTGGAATTGGCCACAGCTAAATTGGGTAAAAAAATCTGAAAAAGGGAACATTATAAGACTATTCAACCTTTTTCAGTAATTTTGTCAATTGAAACCATCACTGACAGAAAATATTGACAAACACTATTGTTCAAATATCTGGAATCACTGTCCAAAAATTTGACATCTACATTTTCAACAATATTAAACAATCCAATTTCAGATATATGTATAAAATGAATTCAGTATGCTAGTCCTGTGCAGTTTCACAGCTTTTAAATAATGATTAGGAAGCTGGTATTTTTTTTTTTTGTTCTGTCCAAAAAAAGCTTATTCTTTTTGGACTGAGACAGCTGATAACAACAAAAAAATATTGTATATAGATAATTACAGTATAGTATACAGTATATAAAAAAATACCTTTTGGTGTCTAGTTTACAATATTTAAATTTGCAATGTATGATTTATCAATGCATATAAATAACACAAATTATTCATATAAAAAATGATTCCAAACTTTTAAATGTTAGTGTAGGTTCAATGACACTGTAGTCGCTTCATTGCAGAAGATCTCATGATGCGAAACATTAGAAATATAATGAAATGTTTTAAGAACAATTCTGTATGTTCTCAATAAATTCCAAACTACAAATAGACTACATTGTTACATACTACGTTTTTGTTTGGGGATGTATTACCTATATTCTATAAGAATATAAGACTATATGATGCTTTCATTTGAAAAGATTATAAAGGTTACAAACTTGCAAGATAGGGTAACAAGAGAGTTCATATGGCCTGTACCAGTCAGCATCTGACTGATTTGGCAGTATTTGTATCGTTGAGCCATTTGCTTTGCATCTTAAGCTGTAATAGCTTAGTATGAGACATAGCCTCATATGGGGAAGAATGAAGGCCTCATGGATTTGGCAGCATGTCATTTTTTGCAGTGCCATGCAAGGCAGGCCTGCACTGCATTTTTGAGACGGCATCCCTCCCTGTGTCCCCCCATTCCCCAAAAGCTCCAGAGCGGCTCGAAGAGGCCTGATGCTCGCAGGCTTTTCATGTGCTTCTCATTTGTTCTGCTCTGCGCTCTGCTCAGCATCTGATCAACATTCCTCCCCCGGCTTCTTCGACATAATTACACAAGAAGTTGTGTTTTTCTAAAGCGAAGCAGCTGCCTAATGCGGGGGCCAATAATTGGGGCCAGGGTTACGCACGCTCTGGTGGACAAACACACACACACACACATGCATATGCGCCTCAGGTCCGGGTACAAGATAGGGTTTTTCGATAGGGCTAGCCAGCGTGAGATAATAAGCGCAGTGCTGATCCCGGCATTAGCCGGGCCCTGGGGCGAGGGGCTTAAGTGTGAGGCCCCGAAAAGCACACGGGGCCCTGGACCTCGGGTGGTCCTGTCCAAGAGGGGGAACAGCTGCAAAAATGTGCCGAAAAACATTAGTGTAGCAGTTTCACAAAGTTATCACTTTACCTTCTCGCCTCTGGACATTTTGGACAGTCACACCCTAAAAAGCAACCATCAGAAAAAAAGGGCTGACTGAACTTGAAATGCTGCCCATGGCTGGTCAGGGTTTGGGATTCTGCAAGGAAAAACTTTGAATGAAAGTGCATACACTACCATGCACTATGTAAGTTTTCATTGACAATATTAGGTACTATGACACATTAAGCATGCTAGTGGATGCCATGTCAGTTAGAACACTGCAGTTGTGCAGCGCTTAGGAAGTTATTAACATGAGCAGAAAAGCCAGAGGCACACTGGGGCAATGCTGTAGCTACAGGTTAAAGGGCTCTGGAGCACTGCCTCTAAGTGAAGTTCATCCAAAAGTGGCAAAGCAATTCACAGATAATGAACGCTTCATAGCAGATTGTTGTTAAGCGTTGTAGAGGGTTAGATCCATAGTGATGGATGACTGGGAGCAGAGAGAGAGAGAGACAACTGGCAACTTATTGTTGGCCTTTTAACAAAAGGAAAGCACCACTTACTGAAGAGCACATGATGAAAGAG